TATAGTTTTTGAGTAAATCAATGAAAATACTGCTTTTTCGAACAATAAGAGCAAAGGAATCTATCTATAGCAGATATTTGGAAAATTGCTCACTGCTACTAACATTCGCGCCTCCCCTTGCGACTAGTCCACGCCTCACAGTTTGGAAAACGCTGGTGTAGAGCAACAACTACCATAATGCTGCACAGACACACACTATAATCTAGTTAGTGTGACTTGGAGTTACGCCAAAGCAATGGAATAATCCGTGATTGGTATACGATGATTTCGATAATATGTCGCAGAACCAGACGCGGTAAATTGATACAAGCGTTGTCCTCGGGGGAGTGGGAGTTTGTTTGGCAATCCATTAAACAAGGCTGTTTACTCTTTTAGCTTTAATAACAAGGTCGCGTTCAACTTGTTGAAAGTTTGAAGGAGAGACATCGAAAACCTCGTGCCATATATTCATATTTCCAGCTGAAAATATGAATATTATTTACGCGTTAATATTCTCGATATTTGCTTGTATTGGAATTATGCGCGCGGGATAATTAATTTTCGATACGTGATTGCATTCGACGTGTGCGGAGATACGCGCTCAACTCGATTTCGGGTGGGTGGGTTGTTTAGTATTTAGTGATTAAGTGGAGCGTGCGGTATGGATGTGTACGGGATATATGCGATGGGGGGGGGGGATGGGAATGGGTTGAGAGTTCAGAGCAGTTGGGACCTTTCAGGGCGATTCATATTCGTAAATAAATTATAATTAATTTGCGCCGGGGAAATTGTATTACGGCTTCACTCGCTGATTTACGATCGAATACGCCTCTATCGCAATTACGGTTTTACTCACATGGTATACTACTTTGTATAATATGAAGCTCGTAAATATACAAAAAAAAATTAATAATAATCTATAAAAATGAAGAATTTTTATGGATTTTATATTCAATAAGGAGGTAAATAAACTGCATACGTTGATGTTAAGCTTTATTAGAAATATGAGATAAAAACGAAAGAAATGCGTGTGATTACGTGAGAATAGTTTTAAATATTAATATTTATGATTAGAGTTCTTTTTTTTTTGTATGTTTTCTTCTCCATCTTCTTCTTTATTAATTAATCTTTGTTTTAGTTGTTTTTTTTGTTGTTTGTTTTACATGGGCCTGCCCATTCCTCTGCCCATCTGCGGGACGGCGTCCACGGATTTTTGGTTCTTGATGGTTTCGTCGACGGAGAGGATCAAGCATGTGGCTTCGCAGGCGGCGGTGAGGGCGTTCACCTTGATGATGGCCGGCTCCCATACGCACGAATCAAAGTTATCGCTGATATCCTCCTTGGTGATGTCAACGCCGTACCAGCAGTTGCCCTGTGCGTGCTTCTGCCTGAGCTTGTTGAGGATGTTGGTAGCGTCGAAACCGGCGTTATCGCACAGTTGCCTTGGAATGATCTCGAGGGCCTTGGCGATGGCGCCGATGAGCAGCTGCTCCTTGCCGGCGATAGTGCGACTGTGATCGCGAAGCATACGCGACAGTTCCATCTCGATGGCTCCGCCGCCGGCGACGACGGAATCGTTCTGGATGGTACGCCTGACGATCATGATGGCATCGTGCAACGATCTCTCGGTCTCCTCCAAGAATTGCTCGGCTCCACCGCGGAGGATCATCGTGCAAGTTCTGGCGTTCGGGCAGCCCTGGAAGATGTTGAACCTCTCGCCGCCGATCTGCCTCTCCTCGAACGTCTCGCACGTTCCCAACACGGAATCCTTCAGGTCGTGGACGGTGGTCATCACGGCTCCTCCGCAAGCCTTCAACGTACGCCTCAGATCCTCCTCGGGCACTCTACCGGCGCAGAACATGTCCCTGTCGGCGAAGTATTGAGTGGCGACGTCGCCAATCGGCAACTTGGATAACACCACTTGCGCTCCGGACTCGTGGATCTTGGCCAACTTGTTGTACAGAATGTTCCATTCGGCGTCGACGATCTTTTGGTACTCCTTCACGCTGTCAACCCTGATTTCGGCGTTATCTCGCTCGGCCTTCAATTCCAATTCGATATTCAAAAGGGCAATTTTACATTTCTTGTATGTTTTCGGTTGCATCTCGAAACCGGCATACGAGAAAGTCTTCTTGAACGCAACTCCGGCGACGAGAATAGAATCCTCTAAAGCTCCGCCGGTGACTTTCTTGATACCAATCATGTTGAGTGGTAACAACTCGTCCAACATCAAAACAGCGTCCACGACCATCTTGGAGAAGAAATCCCTCTGTTGATGGATCAGTTTGGAGCTCATCGCGGTGGCGGCGCACTTCTCTAAAAGCGAGCGGAATTCGTCTGCGTTTCCCTTGCTAATTTTCACAGCCATCTCGCTGATCTTCTCCAAGCACAGCTGCAACGAAACGCGGACAGACCTAATTATAACCCTTGGGTGGACACCCTCCTCAACGTAAGGCTTGATTTGCTTCAAGAATTCTCCAGCGAGCAGAACAACACTGGTTGTGCCATCCCCGACCTCCACATCCTGTGATTTGGCAATATCTACTAAAGTCTTTGCAGCTGGATGCACGATGTCAAGCAGTTTCATGATTGTGGCTCCGTCATTGGAGATTGTGGCTTTTCCGTTCTTGTCTACAATCAATTTGTCCATGCCACGGGGACCCAAAGTTGTCCTCACTGAATCCACCACTGACTGGCAGGCATTTATGTTCGAGACCAATTGGGGCTTGCCCTGAGATGTGTCAGTTCCTTCCTTCAGGAGCAAAATTTGTGGTTGCTGCAACATATCATCGATTAATTACACACTGATAATCATAATTAACATAGAAACATAACGAGTTAGCTTTGAAAAACTAAAGAAATTAACGTTTGAAGAATCAGGTGTGCCTTAGCCACAAAATAATAATGCCGGATCGCTGAATCACATCAACGAAATCCGACCGCGAAGATAACCGAAATTTTTCTCAGAATCTCAACAGAAACGAAACACTTACCATCATCTTGATTGTGGTTTAATTAACTATTAAATATATTTAATATTAAATACAGTTTATGGACGAGAAACGTGATCGGCACCCACGGGTTAACTTCAGAGTGAAAATAGATGCGAACAATCTTACCAACCGTACTTCTAGAAAACATGATTTTATTCTTTCCCTAAATTATTAAAAATTATTATGTATCATTACATAAATCATTCGAATCTTTATTGACTATTATAAATATATTTATTTTTTTGAAAAGTTTTGTCGTATTCACGGGTAGACAAAGAGTAATAGCCATTGTATTTTTTGTATTCTTTTGGTGGTATTGATCAGACGTTGGATGATTCAGAGTGATTTAGATAGTAAGCTTCAAAGTTTGACAAATCCTTTAAAATAGTAGATAAATAAATAAGTTACAATGTACAAATTAAGCAATATTATAGTATTTTTGGTGTGCGTTTGGGGCGTACGATGCCTGGAGAGAGAGATGACTGTATTTATTCAACCTGGAAAAGAGGATTGCTTTTATCAGAACGTTTTGGAGAACGAGAAAATTGAAATAGAATATCAGGTATGCATAAAGTTATTTAAGAAATTTGAACTGAACGAAACTAACCGATTGCGTAAACTAGGTGATAGACGGTGGATTTGGTGAATTGGATATTACATTTAATCTTGCTGATCCAACAGGAAGGATTCTGAGCTCTGATTACAAGAAGGCTGAGAACAATCACAGGGTTGAGGCAAAGATGACGGGAGATTACAAGTTCTGTTTCGATAACAGTTTCAGTGTTGTTACCACAAAGACCATATTCTTTGAGCTAGTTGTTGAGAAGGACGGAGATGATGATGATGAGTGGAATGACGAGAACGCAGAGCAATTACCTGAAGAAGTATTAGAGATCACTGTCGATGAGATCAATGAATCTATTAACAAAGTCAGACAGAACCTGAAGAACATCAAGCATCTGCAGGACACCATAAAAAACTCGGAGGCGCGCGACAGGAACGTGGCGGAGGATAACTACTTGAAAGTCAACTATTTCTCGTCGATGCATCTGTTCGTGATGGTCTCCGTCTCGATAATCCAGGTGCTCGTGTTGAAGAGTCTGTTCGACGCAAAATTTACCTACCACAAACTGGTCACGTTCAAAATGTTCATGTCGCAGAAATCAAACAGATAATACTAAATCAGTGTTTTTATTTAAACAGCATTGAACCAAATAATTGCCATAATAATAATAAATTAATGTTTTTATATAAATCCGGGCCTCGCCACCGTTTTCTTCCAATCCCCCTTGATCTTTTCGAAACGTTTCACCTTCGCCTTCTTCCTGACGCTCATCTCAGTCGGTGGAATGATGTTCCTCATCTGCAGACTCTTGAAACGATCTCCGAGCACGCTTCCGCCCTTCTTCAAATTCCTCAGATTTCCGGCGATCTCGTCGCCGCGATTAAAATCGATATCTCCTGCTTCGAACTTCAATCTGGCGAGTCGCTTCGTCTCCAGCGATTTCTTCTCCCGCAGCTTTTGCTTCTTTTCGAACAACTCCTTGTTCTTCGCTTCCAACGATTCGATCGACTTTTGTATAGCCCTCAGCCTGTTCAGATCGCTGCCCTTCCTCTTCTCCTTCTTCGCGATTATCCGTTGCGCCCTCAATATTTTCTCCTCCTGCTGCTTGCGACGTTGCTGCTTGTTCTTCTTTTTGTTTTCCGTGGGTGGATTCAGAGAAATCCTTCCGCTATCTTCGATCTCCTCATTTTCGTTGTCCGGTTTCAATCCCTCGGACATTTCCACCAACCAATTCGATTCCTTCTCCTGAACTGTCGACTTTGCGTACATCTTCGTGGTGACGCGAGCCAAATGCTCCTCCTCCTTGATTATCTTCAATTCCTCTGCAATCACTTGATCCATCAAATTCTTGTGGTCTTCGTAGCTGGGATTATACGAAGTTCCCGGATGAGGCAATTGAACTGATTCTACCCCAGCCGATTTGTTTTTCATTGTATTCGGCATAACTTTCTTTTTCTTACTAGATCCCAAAAGCAAATTCATCTGAGTCTCATCGTTAAACCATTGATTCGTCTTGATTTCCTTGGCCATGCTGTCATCTTCGCAGAAATTTTCCCAAACATCATCTGTTTCTTCTTCGACCTTCCTAATTTGCTTGGGTCTCTTTGCTCTAGCTTCCAGTTTCTTGTTGATAAATTTTGCGATGCCCTTCTGCTTCTCCTCCTTGCTTTTCACGCGATTTCGCTTTGTGATTGGATCCGGGACATTTGTGTGCGGTTTCAGAAGCTGCAGATGTTTCAGTGGTTTATCCCGAAGCTGCTGTCTCTTCTGTTGTTTGCTTGTCAATATGACTTCTTCGGTGCCTGTGTCAACTTTGAAAAGTTCTTCGTTGGTCAAGGTGGATAGAGGCGCTCTATCAAAGTAAAACAATCGATTAGTTTAATGTAATTTTGTTTTTGCAAAGAAAACACGATTACTCACCCCATACGTTCCTCATGGCGAAGATCCTCCAGGTAGTCTTCAACATCGCCGATGTCCACGTGCTTGCGCCAAGCACTTTTCGTCTTCTTCGACACACGTTTCTTCTTCGCTACAGTCATTTTCATAATAACACAGTACGAAATAACAAACACGCAGTACCTTCACCGCATGCGTTTCAGGTTATGTGCAATCGCAGACGAAATGACAAATAGAAGCAAACACGAGTGTGCAACCAACATGGCACATCAGTAAAAATGGTAGTCGGCATTAAAAAATATATTAGTGCCCGCAGAGCCAAAAAGGCGCATCATTGCAAAGTTTATAGTTCATATTTCTTAATTAAAGCTTTAAATTAATTTACTAATTAACGAAAACGTCGGACCGTTAATTGTCTACAATTAATCAAAGTTTTCTTAGCAGTGCCATCTGCAGTTGCATTTAAAAAAAATTAAATTTGAATTTTAAAAAACGTAGATTAAAAACTAATTAATGAAATAAAGCAAAGATCGCTTAAATAAATGATTTAATTATGAGTAAATGTGTTGTTTAACGTAAACAGTGAATATGAAGAAAGATAAAATCGAGTCACATCAGGAATTGTTTTTCTATCTCTTCGTCGATGGCATCGAAGTGGGACGCGTAGTAGACGCTCATGGTGTTGGTGAAGCCGGTGCCGGGGCGATTTCCGGTCAGGATGACGATGGTGTCTGCAGCCCGGATGAATCCCAGATACTTGCCGAATGTGATGGCGAACTGCAACCTCCTTCGCACGTCTTGCGTCCAATCGCTCAAGGGTTTCTCTGAAAAAAACATTGAGTAATTTGATATTGTGATACATTCAAATTGCGTACTGATGAAGTGGATGGGCTCGACGGCCCTGTACATCCTCAGTTGCCTGGAAACGCGGGAGTGTCTGGTCACGGCTATGATGGGACAGCGAGGTCGATACTTTGCTATGATCTTGGCCGTCCGTCCGGACGTTGTCAGGACGATGATCGCCGCTGCAGAAGACTTGACCGAAGCCTCCACGACACCGATGGAAAGCGAGTAGATGGGCTCCATGAAGATGGGCACCTCCTGCGTGAGCGCCTCGAAGAGTTTCCGATGAAAGACTGCGGCTTCGGCCTCCTTGCAGATGCCGCTCAGAGTGTGCACGCACTCGACGGGATTGTCGCCGCACGCCGTCTCCCTGGACAGCATCAAACAGTCGACGCCGTCGAGGATCGCGTTGGCGATGTCAGTCACTTCGCAGCGTTTCGGATGTAACGCGCTGACCATAGAATCCAGCATTTGTGGAGCGCAGATCATCGGTTTACCCAACTTTACAAAAAGACACTTTTACATCAACTAAATTCATTTAAAGTTAATGGGGTTCACCTTGTTGCAAACAGCCGCGATCATTTTCTGCACTAAAAACGTCTTTTCCACGGCAATCTCATTAGCTAAATTATTCCTCGACAAGAGAATACCGTCAGCTTCTTTGGCTATGCTCTCGATGTTCTTAACACCGAGCTCGTTCTCGATCTTCGCCACGACAACTACGTGCTTCCCATCATCCCCTACAACAGTAATCAATTTGTAATTCTCACACTTAAAACTACGTGTTTTTTTTTTTTAGTTAAACTGACCGAGATATTTGCGAACCTCTTCGATCACCTCCTTGCTCTTCACCGAGCTCACGAAGATGATGTCCACGTCCAGTTCTTTGGCCCTCTCGACCTCCACCTCGCTAATACTAGGTAGATCCAATATAGAGTTGTCCATGCTCACGCTCACCCTGTCTCCGATCCTTCCCGCAGTCTCGATGATGCAACGTATGAAACTGCCCACTGCAAAACCAATCGAAATCATCTTGACCATCGTTTTTAACATCTCACAAAATACCAATCTCCAAGGCGGATAAAGTAACGTGATTATCCAAGTAGAATCGATCGCCGGGTTCGACCACTTCGTGCAGCTTCTGGTAATCCACGTAGATCATGTCTTCGGTGACGTGCTCTTCGTATGACGGATCGCAGGTGATGACGGTTTCGTTGCCTTGGTGAAGCTGCACCGAACCATCCGATGGCTAAACCATCGTACTTATTAGAATTGCTCTATAATTATTAAAAGTTGATCATGTTACATGCTTCAATACTCCAGTACGAATCTCGGGTCCGCGCAGATCGAATCCAATCGCCACCGGATACATCGAGCCCAGTTTCCGGCTCACGTTGTCCGCCGCCAACCGGATGTTAGCCACCATCTGGATGGCTTCGATTTGCGTAAAGAAAGGAGTTTTTATTCGGGCTATCGACATTCCCGCTGTTATCAGATCCTCCAAAACGTCGACTGAACTGCTGGAAGGACCTTAAAAATTATAATTAAACAAAGATGAATAGTCTGATTAAGAATTGGCAATTTTGAATAAAGCAATTGGGCAATTTTTGATGAAATGCAAAAAGTAGTGGAAACATTCCAGCGATTTTCATAGAATTGCGTCTGATGGATAAGAGAGAGATCTCAGCAGCAGAAAATAAATTTCCTGTTCGATCCGGTCGACTTCCTCGCTGAGCGGAATAAATAAATTATAAATAAACGCTCTGACCTATTGAACATACGATGCTGGTCAATCGTTTCCTAGCCGGTTTGGACTCGAAATCCAATTTGCTCTGATAACTCAACTGATCTGAAGCGAACGCGGCTTTCAGCTGGGCGTTCGGAACTCTACCATCTTCCGTGCTGAAGAAATCGATCATCTGCAAAGAAACGAAATGTTGATTTCATACGTTCGAGAAGGTAAAAGAAGAAAGTTACCCATGGCAACTTGGGACAAGCTCTCGCGTGCTCCATGACCATAGAATTTCAAAAAGTTTTTAAAACAAACAATTTAGAATTTTCAGAAACTTCAAAAAAAAAAAAAATTGTATTTTGATAGATTTAGAATTTTGTTTATTATTATTATCAGCGTTTGCAGACGGCCGTGGACGATTGCATCATTCGATCATTCATTGTTACAATCGCGAAATGGATTGCTCGTGCTTTCGTTTGACCTTTGCGGCGGCGGCGATCACCGATATTTTCCGCAACGCTTAACCCGATCCAGTTATTTCCAGTTACTCGTTTTCATCTATACTGCAACAACATCAACGACAAAAAATCACTTCGGGAGCATTCATTAAGCGTGTGATAAGGAGTAATAAACTCTCCGGATAAACAGAAAGTTTCATTTACCAAATTCCTGTTTTCCTTCCACTCACTCACTCGCTTGCTCGGACTCGCAGGTCCAAAGATTAGTCGTGGATAATGCGTGGACACGAGAAAACAAATACACGCACACAGTTTCGTCTAACGCCTTATTTTTAGACCTCAATCACGAACGCAATTAAATCGATAAGAGAAATTGCAAATATTGTTTCAATCCTGCAAAAACATAACATGAAAAACGTTTGACAATATAAGTAAAGAAAAAATAGAAAGGAAGCGTAGACATAATACTGAAATTACTTAAACTATTCAAGTATTTAAGTATATCTCATCTCATATCAGATGATTGAGCACTTTCAGTTACACAATATCATGCGTTTCCTTGAAGGTGTAGATAGATATTTCCAAACATACGCAACGAAAATCTCATCTCATCTTTATAACTTCGCATTTAAGTAAACTCAATTTGTCATATAAATTATAATCAACGTTTTTTTTTTT